ATATATATATATATAAAAAACTGGTGGAAGACAAAGACAATATTTTCTTCACAATAATGACATTATTAATGATGTTTATTAATGAAGTCTGTCTAGTTGAACACAACAGTAAGTAACCCAAATTCTAATCTGAACTCTACAAAGAGCCTTAAAAAATAATTTCAGCTACTACCCATCTATAGCAGCAGTAGATGTTTTCAACCAGTAAGTTTTGAATAGAACTGTCTTCTTTTCCCCCCTTTATTTTGACAACGTTTCTATGCCATAAACAATGATGTCACATCAGTGAATTACACATGGATATTTTTTAGCTTCATTGTTGCCAAAAAGCAAATCAGGAGGAGGGTGGGTAGTATCTGGCTAATTAAAATTAGCATGCTCAGTAGTTTGATTTATTCCCATTTTTTCTGACTGAATATTAGGCAGTAGGTTTTTGCTGGTAAATTACCTCTTGCTGATAATCTGTCACAGTCTGCAGAGGTGCTTAAATCTATGGCATGTTATAAAATATTCATGGTGTTTTTCCTTCCATTTTTATAAGAAATGGATAACACTAGAACCAAGGACTAAACACTAATATTGGATTTACGGCCAAATTTATCCAACTCCTAAATACTTTCCAAACAAGGAAAGTGAGCCTGACCCCCCAACTCCCCCTTTGATAGGCCTTGATGTTTGAGTATTTTGGTTATTTTCTTTTGCTAATTGTGTGTCCACCTGAAAATTTCTCTCAGTCCCTCTCCTATGCGGTGCCTAGCTTGCTATATTCAGAGATGTGATGAAGAATGTCTTACATTCGAAAGATTGTCTAACTTTGTCCCATCTACATTGTTGGTCCAATAAAAGCTAATCACCCTAAGAAATCCTTGCCTCTTGCATAATTTCTAGTCCATTATGGCTACAACATCATTCTTATACTACCATAAAAATATAGCATGAATTAATCATTTACATTTAGATTGCATTAATAATGACCAGTCCATTTCTCCAGAATTCAAACCAATTCTGTACTGAGATTTGATGCAATTGTATTCCACAGTATGATTTACTCATTTTCAAATAGGACTATTTGCCAGTAAAACAGGTTAGTAGTTTCAACCAGTGTTTAGCTGCTATAGTAAGATATTTGCCCAGTAAGCAATAGCAAGCACAAACATGATTTTAATATTCATGTGTCACATACCAAGTATTAGGTATTCCTGGCACGATTGGTTACATCTCAACACATAAGAAATATCATGTAATATCAATGTGGTATGACTTATAGACAAAAGTTTTCAGAGAGACTGCCTGCAGGCTAGATCCTACCCACAGGGCCAGGTCATCCAACCTTTGGACTTCTGCATCGGCTCTTGCTACAGTGGCAGGGACAGACACCCAGTGCCAGGGCTTCTGCCTGAAGTGCAGCTGGGACTGCTCAATTACTGGCCCTTGCCAAGGCACCAACTGTCACTGCCAGAAGCCCTGCTACCACAGGAACAGCCAGGTTTCTGGCCGCAGAAGAGAATGTGGCTCTCCAGAAGCAGATCCAGGATTTTGCCAAGTGGGGTGTAGAAGCAGTGACTGGTGCTGCAGAAGTGGCTACAATCCCACTCCCAGCCTCCTCCCGCTCCCATCAGGCAGGCAGACTGTGCCATGGGAGCAGAAGTTGGGGACTTTTTTAAGTCCCCAAAGCGGATAAGAATTCCTTCCCATCCCCTCCCTGCTCAGAGGCACATTCTGGGAGCTATAGAGCCACTCTACTGGGCTGCACAGGAGCTGGGCTCAGCCTGGGACAGCAGCAGAGGGCAGGCAGGTTCCTCCTCCTCACACCTGCTTGTGGGCTGGCAGGGAACACTCAGGGGGACCGGCAGGAATGGGAAACCTTCTTGCCCAGTGTTGCTGGTACTGCCCAGGCTGAGAGCAGCCCCACTGGAGAGAGACAGGAGCTCTCCTCACCTGCGGGACAGCAGCAGTGGCAGGCAAAAGGGGGTGGGGAATGGGAGGAGATGTGCCTCTAAACACAGCAGAAGGGATGGGGTAATTCCTACCTTCTTCTGGGACTTAAAGTCCCAGGCTGCTGCTCCTGCCATGTGGTTGGAAAGGGGGAAATGGCCATGCTGCTGCATCCTCTCTGGATCCACATCTGTGGTCCTCCAATCAATTTGAGTTTTGACACCCCTGGTCTAGATTAAGGATGAAATCAAACCCAGACTACTTAGTAAAAATGGAGGCCCATCCAGTGTGTAGGATGGTGTAACAGCAAAGCCATGTTATTAACTGGGGTGGCCAACTTATGGCATGTGTTTCACAAGTGGCATAGGCAGCCTCTGTGTGTGCCATGCAGCAGACTAGAGAGGGAACAGGCTGCACAGTGGCAGGTAGGGTATGGAGCAGAAAGAAGAGCATCAGATTAAACAGGGAGCATAAAATGAAGAGCAGAAAGCAGAGCAGGCACAGAAAGGGGATCAGAGTGGCACTTGGGGAAAATGCAGGGCTAATGTGTGGCATGCCTGTCAGAAAGGGTAGCCCCCAGTGTTATAAACCACCCATGAGGTCACAGCCAAAAGGGCAAGCCAGTTTCTGAGATCTGGGGAAATAAATATCTTAAAAAGAAATGCATTTTCTATTTCTGACTGATCCAAATATTTTGCAAGGTACCACTGAAATACAACCAAACATCTAGCTGTCCAGCCCATACACAGGCAGAAAGGTCAGACAATGACTGGCACGCAGTACTAAGCCACTATTGTATGCCTCTACTTAGACATACCATTTCAGCTATAAAAAGATTGCTGAGGATTCTAGTCTGCATAAAGTGCCCATAAAATGGACAGGATTTGTATCATCACTGACAAACTACACTGTGGAAACAAACACGGATCTGCAAATAGCTGTTGGAACTTCTGCAGCGCTGGGAAAAAAAACTGGGAGAAAAAAAGTCCATTATCTATCTGGAGACGCTTTTTATGAGCTAGGAACATATTAAAATAAGCAGTTTAGGCATACATTTATAACAGTAAGAATGGGTTATTTATTTATTTTAGTATCTGTAAACTCAATACTTGTGAAACACTTACGGAAAATTGTTAACCCATCAGCAGAGGGGTCTCCCAGCCATGGAAGCCTGCTTTCTGCCAGTGCAGGGGGAGTCCAAGATCAGGCTCCCTCTGCTTTGGCAATAAAGCGTGATGGGATCTAATGCATGATCCCACATGCACGCCTCCTGCCCTGCACTTGTAACATGGTGGGGAACATGATTTCTAGATTGCTCATTAGATCCTATTGTGCCTTTACCTGCATGTGTAGAAGACTTAGTGTTTTTTCTATCTATCTATGGGGGTTGTAAAAAACTCCTTACCCAGATAATAATAATTCACTTGAACTGAAACATTCATCACTGGGAGACTAGTAGAATTCACAAGAAAGGAGAGGTAAAAAAAACCAATATTTCAAGTCTAAAATGTACAGATACAGATCTTAGAAACCAAAAGGGTATTCAGTGTTGGGGAGTCTTTTTGAAGTTCAGCTATCCCAAGTTCAAGTAATGAAGGACCAGCTCCTGATAAGTGTTTAGCTGCAGGTTTCTTAGGTGTAAGAAAGGAAGATAATAGGGAACATTTGTTTGTTCTAAATGTGACCTAATAAATATTGCAATCCATTCGGGGGGTTGGGGTGGGAGAGGCAAAGAATAAGGAAACCCATTACTTCCTTATTCTCACGCTGGCCAACCACAAAGGAGAAAAATCTACTATACTCCTAGCATGGTGGTCCCCTTGGAGAAGTACACCTCCACACCAGTACTAATATGCTACGCCGAACCAAAATGGCATAATGCAATTCAAAAATCTTTACATCCCACCCTTACAAATTTATGAATATCATATAAACCTTGTCCATATGAACACATTGCGGATGATGAATGAGCAGTATTTCACACACAGTAACACCCATATATAATTATATAAGCACAATAGGTATAAAGAACATAACAGATACATACAAGACTTCCTCCTGGTCAAAAGAATCCTAGAATCTCAAAGTTGATTCATAAACATTAAGGATGCTTGAAGACATCTTTGCCAGTAACACAGGCACTGGCCCCTTTTATGCATGAAATGAGGTAAAGAAACCGATTTGCCCAAGCCTGTCAGGAATGAAACTCAGGCCTTCAGGTTTGTAGTTTCCTATTTTAGGCACTCTTTGTACATCTCTAAAACCTAGTCACCAATGCAATGAAATGTGGCAGCTTTCTAACATTGTAAGTCAAATATCATGGATTCATCCTTACCTATCTCTCCTGGAACGTGCTTGCCATTGAAACGAAAGCAGACTGTAACATTGAGACAGTTCACTTGCTGAGAGCCATCATGGCACTGGGGAGCTGTGATGTTAATGGACACTGGCAGGAAAATAGAGATGTCCATTGTAATGACGGGTCTGGATCTGGAGATCAATGGAGAAGTATAATTTAGTCCTGCCTCAGAGGGACATTTCACAACCACATGAAAACAAAGAAAATGGGGTAAATGCCCTATTTCAAGGAGACATTAAAATTTTAGGAAAACATTCTGAACTTTGGGACAGACAAAGCATTTTTTTAGCACTTCACTCACTCAGCAAGGCTGATCAATGGCTGAATTAAGTTGACAGTATTGGCTTTATGTTAACCACTGATTTAAGATATTCAGAGTCCAGTGTGGATGACCAGTTGTGATTTAAAATATATAAAATCATCTCTAGTGAAGGATATATAGAATAGAGACTTCCTGCTGGCTGAGGGGGTATAATTCAATTAGGACATTAGTCAATGACCTCACTTATGCTTCTTCCCTGGGTAAGGACTTAAAAAAAAAGGAAAAAGACCTGGGGTAGTAAGGAAAGGGTATGTAAAAGACTCTAATGTTCCATGTTATACTCTAGCAGCAAACTTTGTTAATGTAAACATGAAGAAAAAATAGATTTGGGGGTAATTTTTCACTGTGGGGAGAGACAGATTAAGTGGATGACATCCCCACCATTTTGGATGGGGAAATGATTGGCTAATTCCCCCATGCCACGTGCTGAAAATTTACAGTACTACTTTGACTGCCTAAAATTAAATTCTGGCAGTTCCTTGTGTGTTAGGAAGGAAAGCTTTCCACTTTTGCAACCCCTGCCCTGGCTGTTGCTACAGTTATTTCAGGTTGAAGAAGAGTTCAGCTACAGTCGCATCACAAGTCTAGGGCCATGAGAGTGAGGTATTGTTTTGTTCTGCCACATGACACAATAAGTACAGAAAGGCTGGGAAAAACAGTAGAGAAATCAAAGCCTCACTCAAAACTAAGAACTGTCCTCCATGTGGGGCTGGAGCCCAGAACTCACAAGCCTTTACTCTTACTGCTTTCAGTCTTGCAGATCTTAAAAGCAAATATTATCCAAAACCAGCTCAAGTAACAAACCTCATCTCACTCCATCCTCCTAAAAATGTGCAGCAAACAGAAGATGCCGACCTAAGGTAGGCTTAAGCTGCCGCACAGGGCCAGACCACGTAGCTAACCAATTCAAGACTCTCACTCCATTAGATACTTAAATGGGGGGCTGTTTTTACGAAGACTTCTTATCTACTGGAGCAAGATCATACGACTCTCAGAGAGACTCTCTGAATAAAGCCTAAAACAACAATAGGAGTTTGTCTGATTAATGGTATCCCTGGAAAAAAAAGGAGGGAAGAGCATGATTCCCCTGATCATTTCACACAAGGATATGAGCTACAGTCATTTGCTTGGGAACAGATAAAATAGATTAACTGTGTAATTTCCAAAGACAAAATACTTCTCAAGATACGCACTGCATGATCTCTCCTTAAAGTTCATCCATTTTGTGACTCCCTTATAAAGCTATACATATATCAAGTTGCAGTGATGCACATGTGTACGTGCATGCACATACACACCCACCCACATCCACACACAAGCAAGCACTCAAAAAGTAACTGCCATCAGCCCCAAGTCAAGGCAGTTTCAACTTTTGCCAAAGCTCTTAATGTCATTTGGCAAGAGGTTTGTTGTTTTTGGCCAGAAGACTTCACAAAAATTTCTGGGAAAAATAACGTCTATTCCTGTTCCCTAATCTTAATCCAAATGGCAAGTGCAGCATTCTCCCTGACCGGCAGTAGCTGCAACTAATCTGCCCACCAACTGGGTTAGTCCATAATGCACAAATTGCTTAAGAAATAAACAGGCACTGATTAAGTGTTTAAGTGGAATGAGGTTGCTACATTGTTGTAGATTTTCTTAGTGACGCCACACAAAAACTTCCAGTTCCTCTTTCACATAACAAAGCAGTAGAAATATCTTCAATCTTCTTTTCAAGCTATTCCTAAGGACACTGGTCTAAAAATCCAGCTGTTGAGGTTCATACCATTTGACAGAAAAGCTCTTGGCTTTCTCTCTTTGTCTTGGTTCTAATGAGATCCTGATGATAAAAATTTAACACCTACACAACTGAAGTCAATGCAAGGTTTTCTGTCAACTCCAATGGGAACGGAAGCAGGTATTTCCTGTGTCTAACAGAACACTTATTAGTAGATTCATTCTACAACTCAGAGCATTTCCCTCCTCCCTTATACCGTCTATTAAAATGACCATTCTGGAGATGCTCCCAAGTGACCTCCACTCTAGTTCTTGATACTGGTTTTCTATTAATCTCTAAAGAAAACATTAGAGATGAGGGGTATCAAACATACAGCTCACAGGTCAGACATGGCCCACAGAACCATTTCATCTGCCCTGCTGGTAGTCCAGTGGATTACCAGAAATTATGGTCTCTGGGACCCAATGGACATGGCCATCAGCAGTAGTCACCCCTTCTTTGCACTGCCACCCAAACACAGCCCACTACCACATGCCTCCTCATCCACAATGCAGCCCCACACTACTGCACACCACCTGCTGTGCACTGCCACCCAGCCTACATCCTGCACTGCAGGAACGGCTGGTGAACTCAGAGTGGTGGGGCGGGTGGAGTGGCACACGGGAATGCGGGGGCGGGGTGCATCCAGCTGGGCACTACGGCCAACAGCGGGGAGGCTGCAAATCCTCCCCAGATCCCAGCTGGCTGCAAACTCTGCTCCTGGCTGGCTGCAAGCACTCCAGCCTCTCCGCATGCCACTCCACCTGCCCCACCAGTCTGAGCTCACCAGCTGCACCTGCTGTACTACAGCATGCTCCCAGCTCCACGCTACTGCCCAACCAGGGCCCTGTGCTGCCACATGCCTTGGCTCCATGTTACTGCCTAGCCAGAGCCCTGTGGTGCTGCTTGTCCTTGGCGCCATGTTGACGCCTGGCCCAAACTCCATGCTGCCACCCAAATATGGCCCCACATTGCATGTCGCTGCCCAAATGTGGCCCTACTACAGTCACTGCTGGCCCCTGCAGTCCAGATCCAGCCTGGGGCCCAAGATGAGTTTGACACCCCTGCATTAGAGTGTTTTTCAGTAACTACTGGCAACAATAGCCTAAAAGTATAATGCTATTATTAGAAATAAAAATAATTAATAACCATTATTAATTAACCACGAGAAGGCTGAGGGGGGACCTGGTGACCGTCTATAAACTCACTAGGGGGGACCAGAAGGGTTTGGGGGAGACGCTGTTTCCCCTAGCGCCTGCTGGCATAACAGGGAGTAATGGGCACAAGTTGATGGAAAGGAGGTATAGATTGGACATCCGCAAAAACTACTTCACAGTTAGGGCGGCTAGGAGCTGGAACCAACTTCCAAGGGAAGTGGTGCTGGCCCCTACCCTGGGGGTCTTTAAGAAGAGGCTGGATGCCTACCTGGCTGGACTCATTTGAGTCCCGTTTTTTGTTTTGGGGTTTTGTTGTTCTCCCGCCCTGGCGGGGGGTCAGGCTAGAAGATCTACTAGGTCCCTTCCGACCCTAAATCTATGAAATCTATGAAATCTATTATTTAGAACATTTTATACCAGAAATATAAATCAGCATTAAAAAAATATTTGGCTTTTCAATAGATGCCTTTCAGCTGAAATACTGTGTCCAGTTCTAGGCACTGCACGTCAAGAAGGATGTGGGTAAGCTGGAGAGGGTACAAAGAAGGGCCACCCATATGATTAGAGGCCTGGAGAATAGGGCCTATGAGAAAAAACTCTGGGAACTGGGCTTGTTCAGTCTAAGTAAGAGAAGGCTGAGAGGTGACTTGATAGCTGCCTACAAGCACGCCGGGGTGAGCATCAAGGTCTGGGAGAGAGGCTCTTCAGGAAGGCACCTCAGGGGAGGATGAGGAGAAATGGGCATGAACTAATAGAAGGTAAATTCAGGCTGGCCATAAAAAAAACCTTTTTCTCTGAAGGGGTCACCAGAATCTGAAACACACTCCCAGCAGAGGTGGTGCAGTCACCATCCTTGGAAGTGTTCAAGATGAGACTGGACAAGCACCTTGCTGAGCTCGTCTGAGCCCAATAACCTGCCCATGGCAGGGGACCAGACTTGATAATCTGGCAGGTCCCTTCAGTCCTATGATTCTACGATACGAGGAAGTAAAATTTCTCTGCACACAATTAATGGAGAGGGACAATGCCCCTATGAGGGATACAAGTATTATTTCACAAATAAGAAAACTGGGACACAAAGGTGAAATGACCATGCTCAAGGTGACATAGTAAATCACAGTCAGAAGTGACACCAGAATGCACAGTTCTCAAAGGTGACCCCAAGCAGAAGAGTTTCTTTCAATCCCATCTCTTTAAAATTAAAATAGCCTTTAATGCTACGTTTTACCACCTCAAAACCTTCAAGACTCCCTTCTTTTATTCTACCTTCCAATGCTGAGCTACATTTCTACATGAACTACTGCTCCCCTCCTGCCTAGTTTTGTTCTCTTAAATTGTAATTTGTTCATTTATATAACAAAATGCAATTAACTTTCTAAACACGATTTTTTCTGAAGATAACTCAACAATGAATGTACGTAACCAAAGCATATCTGAATCTGTAACCTTTACTCTTCACATGGCCCCAGTACACACCTATCCCCTTACTGTACTGTTTATATAAAATAGTACACTTCTTGGGATCAGGCTTATAATTACTCTGCAACATGCCATGCGGCCAGAGAGGTGCATAAAAATATGTTTTTTTTCTAACCATAGTAGAGAAAAGAAAAAGAAAAGGGAGAAAGATTAAGAAACCACATCACCAACATACAGGATGCATTAAAAGCAAACATAATGGAGAAGAAAGAAATTGATCTCACCTTAGAAGTATCACATTGTCTGACATGAAGGCTCCAATGGTCATATCTGAAAGTTTCAAACGTATAAACAATTGTAAAAGAAGTTGAAGGGCACAGAATTCACCTCTTTACAGTCATTTTACTCGAGCCAATGTGACAATTTTAAAATGTGTGCAATAAATGAAAAATTCTCTATTTCCATTTTAAATCTGCCAATCAGTACATCTGAATGTTTTGCCTACATTAAGTCTGCAAGACAGGATTCCTGAAGTCATTCCAGTTCTAAATATTAATAGCCCGCAGTCATTATTTTAGTTAAAATGTTTTCCATTAAAAGCAACTGCTCTTCAAGGAAGTCATTATCTTCTTCATCTTGTTTATCAATCCTTTGTTACAGATTTCAAACCTACACCACTGAACCTAGCTGGCAGTCCACATTCTCTGGGACAAACTAATCATATAATTAGCTTTCACTAGCTGAAGGAAAAGAAAAGCAATAAAAGCAATGTTGCTAACTTTCCAATTACTTAGATAAAGTAGCTTTAATAAGCAACATGAAAACTAGTGGATATGCTTCATTTATTTACTTTTTGTCTGCTTTTATTGTTGGTGCAAAATATACCTGGATAACCATTTCCATCCATATCAATTCCTCCTGATATGGACTGGCCAAACATCCTCAGTGCTGGATTTATCTTTTGCCCAGACAGCTTCTGCAACAGATAATATGGAAGTGAACTCACAGAAAGGAAACAAAATTAAAATAAAAAGAGTACAAAGACTACTCTCCCAGGGATTCATTCTCATGTACACTGTGGTATCGTTAGATTGATGTAGTTAGCTGTGTTAATCTTAAGTCAAGTAAAAGGCAGGGTACATTTGCACCTTATAAACTAACCAAACTAGATATACATACCTACACCTATATAAACAGACAGACAAATCTATCTAGCACAAGCCTTTAAGAGTTGAAACTCATTTTATCAGATGCTGTGAAAGGACATGCAATAAGCAGTGTATAAGAAGGGAGTATTTTAATTTCTTCCTCCCAGCACTGCCTGTCCTGTCCACCCCTCATCCTCTCCCTGCTCTTTTGTATTCTAATTTCTCTCTGTCCCTTATGCACCACTCTGAAGTAACTCCACCTCATATATACAGTCCTTAGGGATTGTTTTCTATTCTTGACTTCAACTAATGCAGTTGTTGCCTTTGATTGAAAATATACTTAAATCATAAATACACATACACCAATTAACAACATAGCAAACATATTTTCTATAAAAAGGTATACAGCTTCGAATTCCACATAATGTTTTTCATTATCTGCATCTGTATGAATAATAATTTTATACCACTTTTAAAAAATTAATGATTAAATGAAACATAAAATCAAATGTAACCGCTTCAACAAAGTCTACCAGTATGTTTAAGGAAAAAAAATGAGATATTAATTTCCATATCGAGTTGAAAATTCTGTTTTTCATCAGTTATTATATATTATTTTGTGTCATTGCTAAAGCTGTATCTCATTTTTGTCTTCCCAGCCCAGAACATTAACTGACTTCGAAAAATCCTCCTCAGAAATCACTAGCATGCAAGACCGTCCCCCATACTATTTTAATAGTAAATTTTTTGCCTGGAGCAAATCAAAGTATTAAAATCTCATCTTCCAAGTCAGTCTGACAGCTCCTGGGCTCCTGTATATTAACAGTATGTTGCAAACAAAAAGAAAATTTAAGTTCAAAATAGAATCTGATCACAGAAGTTACAGACAGAAAAGACCTATTATAGTGTATAATTCCCAGGCTGCTGCTGCTGGAACTTCATAGCCTTTTACAGGCTGCAATGCTTCCTCATTCAAACCATAAAAGGACATTAGCCTCAACAAAAAAAAAAAGTGAGACAGGAACTTCATCGGAAGGAAATAAAACTGCCTTAAAACCAATGCCCTAAAAGTAGAGCAGTTCCTTTAAGATAAACCTGCAATCCTAATGGCCAGCTTTAATGAAGAAAGAATGCTTTAAAACAAATGCAACTAAATTGTCTGTCTTAAGAGTGAATAAGATTGAGGTAATTGAAAACAACTTCTTCCTCATAGTTTCACTTACATCACAGAATGCAACAAAGTTTTTGGGGGGTCCCTGTTAGGGTGGTAAATCCTGCCTACAGATATCCCACAGACATCTGCAGGCTATTATAGTATAAATGCAGAGGTATAATTCTGTTGTGCTTTAAGTGCCATGAATGAAAACAGCAGGCCATGAAGCTTAGTTAGACAGTACTTACTGAGCACATACATTATGCTACAAACCAATTAAGCTGCTTTTCCTCAGAACCACTGCTAAAAGTTGCTACAGGCAAGTAAAACAGATAGAGATCAATGACTTGCACAAAAAAAGGGAAAAAGAGAATGGGAAGGGTGAAAAATGTATACACCCAGGCCTTCCTTCTCACAGCTTATTTAATAAAGGAAATACAGGGCATCTGGATGGCTCAGGGGTATGGTGATCAGATACACAAAGACCCTCACCTTGAGGTCATTGGTTCAAATTCAGAGCAGGTAGGTGGAAGCTAAAGTTTTTTTTTAACATCTGAGGACTGTTTGGTTGCATGTGTGAAATGTCCTATTGTCCTGTCTAGTTCTTTGATGAAAAATACTAGGATGGGTTATAAAAGTACTATCACAACTGGCAGACAAGGTTCTTTGGGTAAATCTGATATCTTTTATTAGACCAATACAAACAGTTGGGGAAAATCTTCTTTGCAAGCTTTCAGGTACAAATACCTTTTGTCCTTAGACCAACATGGCTACAACCCATACCCCTATCACAACTGGTATATTTGTTCACCTCAAAAAAGGAGGGATGGATGGCAGGAATGAACCCACTGGTATCCTAAAGTCTTCGCGTGGTCTTTTCCATGTAAGGATGAAAAAAGATATGATTGCTTTTGCTTGCTTTGAAATTGGGGAAAAAAGCAAGAGCTTTATTTTATGCTGGTTTCAATCTGCCATCTCACTAAAGCAACACATTCCCTCAGGAATTAAAAAAAACCCAACAACCTCCGTATCTGGAAATGCAGAAGCTCAAAAGTCTAAACTCTCATAATAAATTAGATGAACCTCCCTCACAGCAGCTATCATTGAAAAAAGAGAGCAGAACCGAGTCCTACATATGCCACAAATTATCACATTTTAAAAGGATCATAAAAGGGGATTTAGATTTCTTTGTACAACCGATGTATAGTGATATTTGGTAAAAGACCGAAAGATTAATCTAGTCTGCTAAAAGAGTCTCCAGTATAACCACTAAACCCTGTACTCTGCTTAAATTGATGTACTATGTAGGATCCCACCCAGCAACAAAATAAAATGTTTAAATCAGAACTTCAAACAGACAGATGACAGCAGAAGCAGCCCCATCCCCAAGCACACAGCACTGTCCCACCCTTGCCCTGGGCAAAGACCTGGGGAGCACGTGCCCTCCATACTTCCCCCAGGGCATGTGCAGTGGCAGGAGCCAACCCCGCTGCGCGCTCCAGATTAGCCGCCAGCTCCGTCCTGCAGCTTCCTGTCCCAACCCATCTGGACAGCACCTACCCCTGCCCCAGCCCCACTCCCTCCCTCACCACGGGGACCTCGATTTTCTCCCACCCTATACCCCTTCCCTCCCCCATGCCTCTTCCCCCACCAACAGACATACCAGCCAGATGCTGCTCTCCTTGCTGCCAGGCTGAGACCCTGGCCACATGCATACTAAGGCTGCGCACATACATGTGGTATTTATCGGTGACATTATCAGCCACATTGTCCAAAAAAAGTTGATAGACAATAATGGCAATTTTCCTTTTATTGGTGCTGATACAATATGGACTGATGTATCGGCACACCTCTAATAGAAAGCAAGCATTAGTCAAGTCAAAGTACATTTCTGAATCTCTCCCCCACACTCCCATGCAATTTCATAACTTCAGAACTGCCACATTATCTTGGATATAACCTTTTCATATAGAGAGGGCAAAGGCAGACATAATATTATATTAATATCAATTCCATCGATATCAAAGGATATAGATATAGTGTATTACAATGCAACTCTTACCTGTGCAGAGTCTGTAGTGATATAAGTGAAGGAAAACCATTCTAACTTTAACCCTTCTTTATTCAGGGTCAAAGCTGGGGTCATTTAGTGGACTAGTATCTCTACACCAAGGGTGGCCAAACCACCATGGACAGATTGCATGTGTGGGGAGGGTGACAGCGGCAGATACGGCAAGGAGCAGAAAGCAGAGCAGATGGGACAGAGGACATAAAAGAGCAGCATATTGGGGCAGGGGAGTGGCACTGTGGGGAGGGTGCATAATGGGATTGGAGTGGTACTGTGGGGAGGGTTCAGGTTTTAATTTGTGGCACAACTGCCAAAAAGGTTGTAAACCCCAGTCTATAGGATCAAGAAAATGTAATGGTTACAGCATAACAATGGATGTACATTCCCAGGCAGTAGTTCTGCCTCCCTTTATAAAGTGGCTAAAAAGTACATTTTGTCATTCCTAGAGATGCACCACGTAATATTTCACCTATGACAGAAGATTAGGTAGGAGAGAGATTATTGATTTCTGTGACTATACTTTACCCATGTGTTTGGTACATTTCTGCAACACGTGATAGAATAATGAAAGAAACAAGTTACCATAGAATACTGTGGTACAATCCCATCTGCACCTCCATGGTAGATGTACACTGCTCCAATATAGTCATCCTCTTTCGGTGCCCCAATGGCGACATCTGCATATGTAAAACAACACAAATTGGAAACATTTCCTCCCTTTATAAGGAGCCTGCTGCTCCATGTTGAAATGGCTCAACATGATGACAATAACCCAGAAACTAATTCCCCATGGCATTACCTCTTGTAATAAGGAGAAATGACATTGGGAAGCATCATGCTGTCTTGTTGGGCAGTAATAAATAAGAATGTTTTATCAAAATCATGTAAGTAAAGTAATAAATAATCAAGTAACCCAACACTCTCCACCTTCACTATAAACAATAAAATACTTTTAAGAACAAAAATGGACTGACCTGGGAATCCATCATCATCAATATCCCCTAGGGAGGCCATGCTTTCTCCAAAGTGTGCATTGTAGGCATTGTCACCACTCAGAACAAGCTTCTCTTCCAGGACCCCCTAGCAAACAGGAAACAGGACAGGCTCAGAAAAACAGAGCAAACACTGAAAGATATAGGGCCTCTCTGCTGGAATACACAAACATTTCAGGAAACACCTGGGGCAGGGCTGTAGTATGACTTCTGCCCTGCTATTGAAGGTCTATGAAGGCTTACAGCTTGGGTATTATAAAACAAAGTGGTTAAATAAAATCAGTCTAACTCACCCATTCACAATGGCTGGAATTAGCCAGGCTGGGTAATGACACAGGCTATATTCATTAGCCATAAATAGTAATCAGCCAAGAAGCCAGGTTGAACAGGAAGAGCCACATATGAATAAAGAGCCCTGGACCTCAGGCTCCTGACAGTGGCTGAACAGCTAACTAACTAAATGGCTTGCGAGAAAAAATTCTAGCTTATAACCCCATCTCCAAATTTAGAACTAACGTGGTAAGATGCAAAAAGCACAGTTCTTTGTGTTCCAAAATCTGCCAGTAACAACGCTTCCTCACCACTGTTAAAAAACACAGGATTTAAGAATTCTGGGTGGTACTTTCAAGAGTCTCCAAATTCCTTTTTACCCCCGTAGTTCCCAAGAAGTTTACCAGTGGAGCAGAGCTAAGCTCAGACTGAGTATTTTTAAATCCACATTTCCAGTCTTTCTAAATTAGGCAAAAAAAGGATCAACATGAATGACATAACCGAAATGTTAACACATGGAGGCTTAGATCAGTTCACTTTTATCATGCATTAAATGCCCTTCAGTTCTTGTCCCGTAAGCAGATTACATCAAAAGAATAAAGCTCTGCAGTCTTTAGTCAAGATTTACTCAGCCAAAACTCCCAAACAGTTTACAAGTGTTTTCCATGCACAGTGAACTGCAGGATTTGTGCCAAAGGATCTAAAAAATCCTAGACTCTAAATCAAAAATAGCAAGGTGAGAGATCAGAATATAATGCCCTGATAGGTTTGATGAAACAAGGAGAGACTGAAAAAGCTCAGAACAAAATCAGCTTTACGTTCAAATCCCAGTAGAAATCTCATGAATCTGGTGATTCATGCTCACCCACTTTCTAGCCAAATTCTGCATATTGAGCCTTAATTTCTTGCAATCCACCCTCAAAGGGAAAAGAACATTTCCACAAGAAAATAAAACTTGATTATTCAAGCCAGCTTTATGCCCACCTCACAGATTGGTTTGTTTTGTATTTTTCCTTTGTGAATATGGGTAGACCAATCGCTGGAATGTGTAATAAAATCTTTTTCTTGGCTGTGGGGACTTGCTGACATTGAAAAAATCCCACATAATGAAATTGGAAGACAAGAGTGGTGGAAAGCAGGCAGTCCTGTACATTACTCATTTCTTTACAGCATGCACTGCTAGTAGGTAGAGCTAAGTTCATCAGACCTGGTCTGATGCAGCATGTGACTCTTAGTACATAGCAATTCATGGGCCTTCATGGTTGCCTCCTATAGAATAATTTGTCTAATTGGTCTTAGAGAGATCAGAGAAGGAAACAGAATAATTCTGTTTGGCACCCAAGGGGACTGCCATTTCTGATATGTTTGTGTAGAGCCTAATACACTAGCCCTTGATCTGGCTGACCCACATGCACCATTTCAAAGGCAAATTTAAATAAATAAATAAACAAGCAAATGAGGGATGTTCATTGGAATTCAATCAAACAAATACAATTTTGATTTATTTCATACACTTCAGATAGGATCTATGTATAAGCTTAATATCCGGGAAAAAAAGAAAACTCCCATAATATTTCAATTATCAAAAAAAGGCGAACGTGAATCCAGTTGTGCTACTGCTGAAGCCAGTGATAAATCCAGTTGGCTTAAAGGGAGCAGGACTAGGACATATATGTAAGAAAACACAGCTCACAATTCAACACTTACAACTCTTTTTTAATAAAGGTTTTTTCAGACATGGGTTTTCCAAGGCAGGGGAGGGGGAGACCCTACATCTTTTTCCTTTCAGTGTTCCATACTAATTGTCATCCTTTGCTTGTCCGGGAAGTCGAAGTTCAAACTTTCCCAACATATAGTTGTGCAACGTGAAATTTAGCAGTTTAGGGTTGACTGCAGCTGTAGACTTTCAATACATTGCATGAAAGTAACAATAATGCAAAACTAATGTTTGGTTTCTCTTTTCATGGGTTTCTAAATCCTTGGAGTTTTGTTCTCAGTTATGGGTCAAATGATCATCCAAAACAAAAACCAAGCATTGGTCAAAGCTGCTGAGTTTTGCTTGGTTTTGGCATTAATATAATTAAAAGCCACAAATCCCACCATATTTCAACACAAAACCATGAACTTTGCCATGATTCCTTGGAAGATTTACATCATTTTGATAAAAATGGATTAACTTGAGTTCAAGGAATCACAATACCAGGAGAATTTTGCCCGGCTTCATGCTTTGTTGAAAACAATCATATACTTCTACTCAAGGTTTCATTTTAGAGCATTTGGACTAACACTCAAGTTAAATTACCTTCCTCCCCTTTAAGCACGTTCAGCTTCTTCATATACTCACATTTCCTCTGTTGGTATAGACTGTGACTTGACCCTCATCTCTGATCTCCGAAAACATGGGTGCTCCAACCAGCAGGTCTGAAAGTCCATCAGAGTTCAGATCAACTGCACATAAGGAGGAGCCAAAGTAAGAGCCCATCTGTAACCAAGCCGAGTCACAACAAAGCATTCAGTATCTGCCCACACACAGGAGGAAATCAATTATGCTCTTTTTTTGTACATCAAATGATGCTCTCTCATCCTAGCAGCCCTAAGGACAAACCTTAGGGAATCTTCTGGCAAGAACTGGACTGTTTACTGTAACTATGCAGCAGCATGAACATTATACAGACCAACTAATCCTTATCCCTAAGGCAAAAGGCAATGAATGGCCTTACTTTAGAACAGCTTTTTCTCAAAAAAAAAAAATGTAAAACAAAAGGAGGAGGGAAACACTTGCCTGGGCCAAGATTCCCATTGGTTAGTGAGTTTTCATGATCAATTTCAGACATCTGAAAGTGCCTGATTTTCAGAAGCTGGGTGCTTAGCAATTTCTGAAAATCTAGCAGCTTCAGTGGTTCCTCAGTTTGTACCGTCTCCCCCCAAAATGGGAAAAAAAGAAAAAAAAAAGAAAAAAGAAAGGCAACCAAAATCACTAGGCAGGTCTGAAAATCTCTTTCCTGGTCACCTTAAACTTCCCTTCTTAAATTTCACTAAGCTTCCCCCCAGACTCTGTGAGGCAATGCATTCTGAGAAGCCTTATATTAGATAGACCACCTCTCCGAAAGCCCAACCCTCATCCAGAAAGAAAAGTAATGTGCTGACTGGTTCTTCTTTTGCATATTGTTCTCCTACTGCAAGCTAGTCTGTCTAAGGATCTGAGCCTGCAAGTTCCTATTCCACAAAATTCCTACTGATTTCAAGAGAAGTTTCATGCACAGAGAACTTGCAAGGTGAAGCCCTGACATGTAGAAATTTTCTATCAGTGACAAAATATATCAGAAAGAGATGTCTTCTTAGACCTACTGTAGATTACTAACATGCTATATGAAGCATTCCCCAAATGACAGTCAAACCACATGCAAGGGCCCGATTTAAACACAAGTAATGAAACTGAAGGAAAGACTGACATGCTGTCCTGAGTTCATCCAGCTATGCCAAAGCACTGCAGCACATATTCCATAGGCATATGATTAAAATATATTGTGCATCTCTCAGAAGACTTCTTTTGAAAGGCATCAATCCTTTTAAGTCCCAGAGTTAAAAGCAAGCCATATAAACCTGGTGTGCCCTCACTTTTATTGCTGAAATGCATTTAGGGAAAAGCTTGAAGCTGAGATTACAGAAAGAGTTAATTAATATAAAATGGGTGACATATGGCTGGATGGTAGCACTATGGAAAAAAATTTGTGAGTCTTAGTAGATCATAGACTCAATATAAGTCTGCAGTGTGATGCAGCTGCACAATAGGTGAATGTGGTGTTGGGCCACATTGATAGAAGTACTAGGTGAAAGACACAAAAGGTGATAGTGCCTCTCCACTCATTACTAGTTAGGTCTCATCTGGAATACTTGTGTGCAGTTCTGGGCTCCATATTTTAAAAAGGATGTGGAGAATCTAGAGCGGGTCCCAAGGTGGGTGACAAAGATGATACAAGTGCTTAGATTGTAATGAGAGTTATGAAAAACATGACACTGCATATTCAAGAAGCCTTAAAAGACAGGTTCTTATTTACATTAGGTGTGTTCAGTGTGGGCGAGTTCATGTTACTTTTTGCAGAACCTTATTTTTTTTGCAGTTGTTATAAAATAATTATATCAACGTTTGGTGCCTGCATTTAGTTTTCTAATTTCCATCCCCCCCATCCTAAAAAAAGAGAGCAAGGAAAACAGCCTGTGCATCAATGTCAATGTAAATGGGATATGGAGGAGTGAGTTTGAACCTTTGCTGTTAAGATGGCATTTGGTTGGAGTCAGTTTTCTGCAATAGTCAGAGCAGAAACTCCTCAGATGACATTTGGAAAAATGTAGGCTTTGCGTATGGGTTTAAAAAAAAAGAAAAATCGAAAGATAAAAGTTTGGGTTTTAGAGAGCCTAGAAAAAATTGTAGGAGCATGATAATAGTCTACAAGTATTTGAAGGATGTAAACACAAAAGAAAATTAAGAAATAACAACAGGGATAATGTGATTAAGTTAAGAATGCAAAGTTTCTTGGCTAAATCCATTATGCTTCTTAATAGCTATGGATCTTACACCCAGAAATAGTTTTTCAAGGCAGAAGCATTGTAACTAAGGATATAAATCTCAACTGGAAGAAATAAGAAAAAACACAGATCCCAGTATCTTTCTATCCCTGTGATCCTCTCCAAACCCCAATGTTTAAGGAAATGTTGACAGAATTTGTCTGCATGTGTTTAACTGAGCTACTGACAAGGCAGGTGTCCTAAGGAGAGCAGCAGCACCTAGTATAGCCAGATTCTATTAGTACAAAGGTCCATCTCTTTTGCAGCCTGGCCCTACTCTTATGACCCATCCCTGTAAGCCTCCCTCTGGCTTTGTGAGAGGGCAAGCAATTGCTTCTGTGCAGCCTTGAATTACGTTGAGTACCTCTATTTTTGCCATTATCTATGGCTAGTTTTGATGTGCATTTTGTTTTCCTGAAGACATATCATGCTTCCTGGTCAAGAATAATGTATATTTTTTTCTAACCAAACAGGACATCACACATGGGAGCATGGTTCCATTAGATTGTGCAAGAACATCAAAGGGTAAATGCTGGATTTAAGCTCTTGGGAATAAACACTTAGATCAGCATTCAAAGTAGAGGATTCCTGAAGGTGTCTACCAGCAGGGCAATGAAGCCTCCATAGCCCAATACTACAACCCTAAAAAGCCCATCTCCGGAGATAAATAGGGAGATAAGAATTGGTAGCATAACTAGGGGGAGACAATAGAGACAACTGAATTGGAGGGGGCAAAATAAAGCAAATGATGCCAGTGGCCAAGTTTTCATGATCACAACTGGAAGTCACTGCATTCACTTTTCACTGCCAGATAATGGATGGTCTCCAACAGCAACTGATTGTTAAATTGTGCACATCTGTTCCAATATCTCTTCTCCTTCGTGGCAAAGCTCTACATGCTGCCACATAGTCCACACTCTACCAACCTTGTGCAACCATAGAGGCAGGAACAGGATTTCTCTTTCAACCCCCATGAGCTCTAACAGCACTTTTTATTACAAATATTACTAGGCTTTTAAATTTCAACAGTGCTGGCACTGAGTCGACATTGCCAATGAGACTGAAAGGCATGTGACTGGTCTAAATGACTGACTGAGGACCTCTTGGTGAGGGCATTTACACTTAGATTGGATGCTTGAGAAGCGATCAACTAAATTCACCATTCTAATTAACAGGATTAAACCACTTGTTAGTGAAAATCTCTCACCTTTTTACCTGAAGCCTGAAAAATCTTTATTAGGGAGCCTGATCTCCTGTCAGTTCTGAAAATATAAACCTATCGAGTGAGAGAAAAAAAATTAAACAATGGTTACAAATACTAGCCATGAGGTCAGCTTGTAAGTGGGTAGTTTGTGACTTTATTTACAAAGAACAGAGTGAAACATTCATGTGTAATCATTGTAAAAAAAGTGATTCATATCTGTCAAAGTTCAAATTCAAGACAATCCTACTATTTTTTAAAAATAAAATATCTTCATTTTAGACTCAAACAGAGAGCCCCATGTCATTACAATGACTTTAATCGTATCCTAATAAAAGCTTAAATGTGCAAACAGCCCACTGCACAACAGCCACAGCCTCAAGGAAATGGCTTTTGGAAGAGAGTAACAGTGCCCAGGAATGAGCAGGTCAGAGAATTGAAAGAACCTCCTGACCCCCAGTTTCCTCCACAAGAAAGCATGCAGTTGGATGAGTCTACAGAACAAGACAAAAGTCAGGATGTTTTGGCAAAGGCTTCAGTAAAAACTGAAATTACACTAGTAAGAGTAGGTACAGATATTTGTAGTGGTTAGGGAGAAGTTAGAGTTAAAAAGGCCCTTGCTCTAAGGAAAGTTGGGGGAGAGGGGGGTTGGGCAGGATGGGAGGCTTGCAGAGAGGCTTCAGGAGGATCAGGGGGCTAGTGGAGTCTGCGGGGAGGAATCAAGTGGATCAGGGGTCTAGTACAGTCCATAGGCAGGCTTGGGAGGGGGCGGGGGGGTAGCAGGATTGGAGAGGCTCTCTGATCTGCCAACCCCCCTTCAGCACCCCCCTCTGCCCTCCCAGCCTCCAGCCCAATCCTGTAAACTGCTTCCAGGGCCAGTTGTAATGGCTGTCACTGGTCCCAGGAGCCTGACTGAAGTAAGCTGGGGTGAGGGAAGGGGTGGACAGATTGAGTAGGGTGGGGGGTGGTGATTCCATGTTGAGGGTTGGTGGGATCAGGGGGCTCTCTTCGCCCCACCAGACTATTTTTATCCCCCACCCCCCATGCCACGATGAACAACCCTTCCCCCCCGACCCCTCCCTACACCTGAGGTCTGGAAGCGTTCGCCTCGAGTCCATCTTGCATCACGGTGGGGAAGTCCCGGTCCCTGCCCAAGAAAACGGAGGTGAAGTATTGGTTAAAGAGGTCTGCTTTCTCCTCTGGCACAACCACCAGATTGCCCAGAGGATCTTGCAGGGGCCTACATTCCCCGGTGCTTTCTTCATCCTCCCTATATATTTGAAAAAGGACTTGTTATTATCTTTGATTTTGGACGCAAGTCCTAGCTCCATGTC